GGGGGGGGGGTAAACGGAAGATGGAAATAGGGAAAAAACTTTGCGTATGTACGCAAAAAAATCACCATCCGTAGGTCCTTTGCACTACTTGCTCCGAAATTGGACTTTGCTCAAGTCTTTAATGTACATTCTATCCTGTCTGATATTCTTATTAGTGAATTTATTTTCATTTTTGACACAGATTTCTTATTTTTGATACAGATCCAACATGACAAGATATACAAAGTGATGGGCGTCATTACCCAGGGTGCTTACAACCTGGACCACTGGGTGACGTCATACAAACTGGCGTTTCGAAACCGGCTGGATGTCCCGACCTGGACTACTTACACAAACAGTGATGGCGACGATGGCGGAATGGTTAGATTAAGTTAACCTAATTCCAACCGACGTTTTCTTGGTTTAAAGTCAACACATTCGCTCCAAGATAAGAGATCGTTTTCACCTTTTCAATAGTCACTCTGGTCTTCCTCGAAAGACTGGCCCAGTGAGAATTGTCACGTGGCTAGGTCAGTCTTTTGCAGAAGACCAGACTGGTCGAACACCCTGGGTAGGAACAATCTCTTGTATTAGAACAAAGGTTTTAGTTTCAAACATAAAACAGCACAGAAAACTTTCATGATAGACTTTTTACCCTTACACGCAAGTTTCAAGGCACCCAGTGCTGTTTTAAGGGCTTGGAAACCCCATTTTTCAAAGTCAATATTCTAGTCACTACATAGTGAGTTGAAACTACACTACCCCAATGTATATTGATCCTCAATTAGCAAAAATACCCAACATTATGACGGAAAATGGTTACTAGAAGGGCCCTGGGGTGATTTTTAGGGTACCTCCCATAAAAAAGGACTCATCTTGGGGCTTGTTTTTCCAGTTTTAAGTACACAAAGTATGAAATAATGATTGAAATGTGCTAATGTGAAGCAGCATGTATTAATATCATAAAGATTGCCTTATTAATATAATTTCCAGTTTTGCTGCCATGAAATGTCATTGGATGCCTTTAAGAGGCTAAAAAATGGCAGACGAAATAAAATTTGATGAAAAAAGTGTTGGAACAGGGTTAACTTAGAACGTTAACCAAAGGCAGAGGCTGATGCTAATAACTTGAAGTACTATTTGCGAGGTATAGAGGATGCCTTTCAAAACTATACTTTCGTACCTGGCAGTAATAACAACCTGATGAATAGTTACTGTTGATGTTTTCCTGTTTCAGGTTTTCCAAGGAAACACAGACAGCCATCGCTATGTGAGAAACATGTTGGACAGTCCAGTTGATGCGCTCTTCACCCGTTTCTACCCTATGACATTCCACAAGCAAATCGCCATGAGGGTTGAGATTCTTGTGACTGACACCGTTGGTAACGAACCAGTTTTTAATTTTTCTTTTGCTTATAGACAAAGGTTTTTACCCCTTTAGTGGACTTTAACTAAAGGATAGATGGCAGTAATGATGGTCTATTTTCAACGCAAACAGTACCTAAGTTTGAATAAATGAATGAATGAGTGAGTGAGTGAGTGAGTGAATTCATTAAAAGTCAAAGCAATACGAAGTGAGGGAAAATGCACAATGTATTTGTGCAACTACAGTGAAAATCTCCAAAAGAAAAAAAAAAGAATTTAAGGGGATTGATTTAATGTTTAATCACCATTTTAATGGATATCAAAAATGTTGTGTTTTGAAAATTTCACTAAACTGTGCCAAATCTGTAATTCCATTGACATTTGTAAGCATTTCTACAGTATATATCGTATATATTTATGTGTTTTAAGACTATATTGATGTATGCATACAATTAATGCTCTCTAACTGGTTAGAATCAAGATGTGAACATGATGAAGTACACTGTGGCGGCGCATGTCAACCAAGGAAAAGTCTCTGTGGGCGTTTTGACGGATGTCTGCCGCGCAAGTATCACTATGGAGACAAGTAAATATCATTATTTCTTTACTATGACAACTCTCTTAAGTTTTTAGAACTACTATTATTAAAACGCCTTGAAGACAATCAAACCTATTTAAAGCTTCGGATAGAAAAACATTAGATTAAGATCTATGAAAACGATAGAACCTACTAGCTTTGAAAAGTTGCCTATAAACTCCGACTAACTTTTCTATAGTGTTATTTCCATTATGGTATTTAATTTGAGCCAAAAGACCCTTTTTATGAACCTAATTCAAAACTGCCGATTAGTCATGGATATCTTTACCAGATTGCAAATAACATACGCTTATTACAAGATTACTAACAATTAAATCAATAAGTAACAATGGCCATCCAAGATTATGTAACTTGATTTACAGACCAAAAGGTAACCATGCCAAATTTTACTTTCAAATAGCCGGATCTTTTTCACTTTAAATCTATGATTCGGTCTAAATTAAACTCACCCTGTGGCAGGCAAAGATTAATATACATATACAAATGCATACACAAAAATGAAATTGAATAAAATTAATAAAAGGTAGAATACAAGATATTCAATTATTAGAATGGCAATATTATTTTGACATATACTCGTAACACATGATTACATTGAACTCAACCTATTGGTAAATTAAGAAACGTAGTGCCACTTTTATCATGTAGTTGCAGTTTTAAAGTAAAATCAAGATCGGATAAATTTGTTTCGCAGCCCTATATGTGAGGACGTTCTACAAGGAGAATGCGGTTTGGAATCGACCGTTTCGTTGGACGACTTTGAGTGCTACGGTCAGTTGCGTTGATCTGATATAGTAATGATAACTGTGTGTACATGGAACTACACGTAGATTCTATAACCTAGTAACTTTCCTTACCGTGGATGGAATGTCCTCAATCCGTTTGATGCTTTAACAACATTGACTGAGGCCACATCAATTTGATTTGTTGGTCCTCTGATTTTTTTAGAAATTAAAATATGAAGCGTGCGGGCGAAAGAAACAAAACAAAATAGACCCAGCCATCCTAGATCACTGTCATAGATAGTGTTATCTATGATAGTGCTATCTTCTTACACGTATCGCAGCCATCATACTTATATGATATATTAATATATCGATAAGGAACTTCATTTTATAAATAAAGTCTATAACATCTATATTAAAAAATATATTATTCTTATTTTTCTATCAAAGAAATCAACAGCCAGTTCAGTCGGTGCTCGGATGATGCCAGTTCCGTACCTGAGGTATTTCATTCCAGTCAGGCCTGTGACGGGAGGGTCGACTGTTCAACAGGCAAGGACGAGGCCAACTGTGATGGTAAGTCTTGACATGGGGCCCAGTTGGCTTCATTTTTATACAGGGGCCCCATTCTTAATATGAATATTAAGAATGTCTCTTTTCTTTCATAATTTGCGAAGAGAACGAAAGAGACACTGAAGCTAAAATTAATACAGAAATTCCCTATCTTAGATATTATGCTTACATGCTCAAAGTGAACTGCATTTAGGCTCATAAAATGATGCTTTTACTATAAGGTAACCACTCTCGTGCTGCACTTTGTTTTCCTTGAACAGAGTGTGCTATGGAATGTACGACCGGTTCAGATGACCCATGCATTCCGCATGGATGGATTTGTGACGGATTTAAGGACTGTTTGGATCGGAAAGACGAACAGAGGTGTTTCCAAGGTACGTAACAAAAGTTCATAACTTTGCTATTGTTTCCCGGTATTTTGACTCCGTTGTTATAGTTTCTAAGATAATCTACATGTAGACGTTGGTACACACACTTACACTTGCAGAGGACGATTTAGCTGTTTTAGAGAGTTGTGCTGCCATTTGAATTCATTTAAAGAATCGGACAATCATTACAAAAACATATGGCTTGGAACATAGCGACAATCGATTTTGATAGCACATTTGTCCCTGCTTGATTTTTACCCTGCTTTAAGTTTAATTTGAACCATGTTATAATAGATTGGCAACTGTTTGCCCATTAAACAGAATAGGCAAAACAAGTATGTGGCAAAGTGTGAGATCAAAACATGAAATTTACCTATATGATAATGCCAACTGATCGAAATTCACACGGGCATTGTTGTAGTATGGTTGTTTGAGAAAACGTGAAAACTAAGAAGTATATTTAGGACAGAATAAAGCAGAATAGGTCACGGTAGAATAGAAAAACAAACATAACATCTACAATCTATAAAATCAAATTGTTAATAGTATGAAATTTTGCATATACAAGCATTTTCGTTGGCGGATGTTTAAGACACGTTTAGTAAACAATATCTATGATATACTGTCCATTGCAGGAGTATCCAAAGACTGCTTTTTCACCTGTTTGAACAACGTTACCTGTCTACCAACACGTCAGCTGGGTGACGGAATCAGGGACTGTGCTTCAGGAGAGGACGAAAAGCCCAATTACAGTAAATAATTGGTTCTTAAATAGTTACATATGATGGCGACTTTCTTTTATAGTGGTTACGAGCAAATTACGTGGTTTTGTACTCCAAATGTAAAGTTGATTATCTACCAGAGGTCAGTTGAATATACAGGGAAAACTTACTCCATGCCCACTACAATTAAAGTGTTTTTTGTTTGTTCATGACTGGCAGTGATGTATATTGTTTAACATGCAAATTACCTTGATTCAATTAGTTTTGTTATTCATTAAAAAGCTTTACAACAAAGCAATGTTAATTGCCTTGATATGAACAAAGGAGAGTTTTCCACTCAATATTCGACTCAGATATAATTGAAAAAAATCTGGATTTTTGTTTGGTCTAACGGATCGTGAAATCCATCAAACAGGTACAAATTGTAAAAATAATTAATTATTCCTTTAATCCATTTTGAGGATTTGATAAACTTGACAATAAAATACAACATAAGAAGTATTTGTATGGTGCTATGTCTGATATTGCATTTTATCAAATAAGCTTTAAAAGTGTAAGAAATAACAAATCCACATTCGTTTTTACAGTTGAAGAGGTTCTGCATGACAAGTGGGGCTCCTGCAGCTACGACTGCCCGTCTGTCTACGGTAACGCGTTCTGCGTTCCAGACGTGTTTAACTGTGACGGCAATGCGGACTGTTTGGAGGGAGAGGACGAACAGAGATGCGACGGCTTCACATCGGCGCCAGCCAATGAAGGTCATTATATCATCTGTACCTACGCCAAAAAGCAGTTACTCAAGCAACGGGATATGATTTTGAAAACGTCAAAATCAAAATCATTTCAAAATCATATCTAGTTGCTTGAGTTCCTTCAAAATCATTTCAAAATCATATCCAGTTGCTTGAGTAACTGCTTTTTGGTATACCATCTCTTGTTTTCAGAGGCTACTAGTATTAAAGCAACCTGGCAATGAACACATACATTGCCATGGCGACGGTGGTTGCTGTTAGATTTATCAAAATAATTTAAAGAAAATAATTTGACGTTTTCAAAATCATATCCAGTTGCTTTAGTAACTGCTTTTTGGCGCATCGTATTACATGGATGTCTAACCTTCATCGACGCATCTGTACCTATCTATCTGAAAAAAAAACATCAAGCATATAGAGTGTTTTCATTCACTCTCCTTATCATCGAAACTGCAAGCCCGATGATGTCCTCCATGTTGGTGTCCTTGATTTGCATTCTAATGGACCGTTGCTTCTAACGTCCTAATATATATCACTTTTAATTCATAGTTTTGTATATAGAATAATTTTCCTTTCAAAATGTAGGTAATTTAACTTTTCTATTCATATCAATAAGCTAATTTGTAAACTTTTGCTTTCAGGTGGTGATTGCGCGACAGTTGAATGTTTCCTACCTGGTGTTCCGGAACCTTATTGTTTACCCAATCATCTGATCTGTGACGGCCATCCAGATTGTGTACAAGCAGAGGATGAACAGGGGTGTGCCCATAACATGGGAGGTAACAGTCGTCAAGAACCAACCGAGGAACCGACCGGTGGTCAAGAGCCAGGGGGAGGTCATGATGGGGGTCAAGAACGAACTGGAGGACTTTCGGATGGTCAAGAACGTGGCGAAGGACCTACGAGTGGTCAAGAACCTAGCGGTCAGCCTATCTTTGGGAACGGGCCAACAACAGAAGCAACCAGAGGCCAAGGTCGGTTTAAAAACATGTTATCGAAATCTAAGGAACTGTTTGACCAACATAAGAAAGTTTTTAGGTTTTTCTTTGAATTTTTACATTGATTTTGTTTTATAAAATATTATACATGTATAGTGATGTTTTGTAAAGGCCATGTAGATTAATATATTCTGATACATCTTTAAAGAATCATACAAGTTTCACGATGGTCAGATTTTGGGCCCAAAAGTCCCACTCCGCTACTATGTAGATCGAATCCCCCGAACCCGCGAATCTTGTTCGATATGACGTCATTCGAATAGAGCGGGCGTTCGATCTGGGGTTACCCGCGGTCATTACAGTAAAGCCGCTACAACCGGCTACTTCAAGCCCTTTTTTACTGGGAACCACGGAACAGGAAAAATCCACCTTTCCACAAATATGAACCGTTTTCAAAACATTACATCTATGCCGTGATTTTATTGTGGATATGTAACATGTAACGAAGCTACTATCGTCATCGTGGGTGACCTTGAAGGTCAGAATTCTTGTTGACGCTGTTATAAAATCCAGGTCCCCATATCCAAGTGTCATAGCACGCGTGCAAACATGGTATTTTAACCATTCCCCCAAATCGTTCAAATTACCTCATTGAGGGCTTGTTTGGAAGAGGAACGATTTCCGCAGATTTCTGTCTTAGGGATTTTTTAAATATGGCCGCGATTATGAATTATCGGTATTTAAAGTTAAAACACTGCGTTTTTAGCTCTTCTTTTGACTGTAAGTCGAGTTTTAGTTAAAAATTTAAAAAACCTAAGACAGAAAGTTTAAATTTACTGTAATATTTCTAAAAATCCAAAAATCTAACCTTATTTTTAATTTTCGGGGCCTCTTAAAATCAGTTGTTTGGTTCTGGTGAACCCTTTTTGAAATCCGAAATTGATCTCATTTGGAAGCAAATGTACACAAAGTGGAGCAAAGGCAGTGCAAGAATAACATTTGAGATAAACAAAATCACTTATTACATTTTATTTTGACGAGTATTTACTCTCCAATTACTTTTGTTTATTTTCAAATTTTACCCGTTGCCCCCGGGCCGGCCTGGGACTCCCGCGCGGCCACGTTCGAACACGTTCTGTAACCCGATACCTCCCTAGTAATGCGACTTTTAGCCTAGCAACCGACCGCCGTGTTTTAAGACTGTAATCGTTTTCTTGTTGAATGGAGCCACGTTAATTTGGATTTGTTGAAAGTTGAAATCACGCTTAATTGATTGATCTAAAGAACAAACAAGACTATTGGCACTGCAATGTCAGTAAATTATACTGAGCCTGATTATTATTTTTTTCTCTTCCAGATGCAGAGCCTGACGTACAGAGTCATGGACGCAAGGACCAAGCCATGTTTTGGATGACTGTCGCATCGCTTGCCGTTCAGATCTTCTTTTACAATGCTTGATACATAGCACATAGGCAATACATGGGTTTACAAAGATAATGCACTTGTACTTAGCCCAGTCTTCATCCCATTTTACATGGTAGATGGAATAGATAATAATCGAGACAGATAGTTGGAAAATATATTTAGACCTGAAATTTACGATTCCTATTCTGTAGATAACTAGTTGCTACACACATGTGTCGCAACATAAAATCATCGCTACATCTACAACATCAATGCAAAGCATGGAGTTTTAAGAAATATATGAATGCCAATGGTAAAGATTCCAATGTTTTAGTTACATCAAACAAGTTTTAGCAAAAGAAGACATGATGATGTATATTTTTACCATTCATGAGAAAGAGTAGAACGGTTAAACTCGCGAAACTATCAGTGACACCACCTTCTTATATCTACTCACAGAAATATATCGTAGTATAACTCTATACCCCACAAGTTACGCATTAACAACTCAACAAATGTATTCTTCTCACATAAACAAGATCTTTTTTCTGAGTTTTAAATATTTCTAATTTTCTACTGAAAGCTAATATCATCAATTTGACTTTCAAGTTTCAACAATAATAGTGTTCTGATTTCAACCGAATTAAAACATAATGGTAATAATAAGAGGGCTACACAAAGCAACAAGTACATATGCATTGATAATTAACACGTCTGCTAGAGTTACTGAAACATCTTTAAACACAAATTAAAATTACATTACTAGCACCGAAGCCACAGCTACAGATCAGTTTATGTGAAAGTAGAGTTTCTTTTTATTGTTATTGATTAAATCTGCTAATTGACTACATGTATCTTCAGTAAAAATACATACTATGCAAAATGAATACTCTCCGTCGTTTTTTTTTAAATTTACATTTTAATGTCTACACTTCTTACCAATTAGTACCATACAGTTTTAAACTTAAAATGCAAACTATGCAAAGCTGTATTAGGACAACCGTCACATTTATCGATGTAGCTACTATTCAATTTCCAAATAATCCTTATAATAAAATATGATAAGAGTTTAAAAAAAGAGGCGCCATACAATGTATCGAAGTCAAACATGAAGTCTTGCTCTCATCTGAAGTGATTTGAGCTTACACATGTGCCTTTCCTTAAACAACTTTTTCTGGGTTTGAAATATGCGTATCGTCATTGAAAAACATGCGTTTTGACAATGTCATCCACATTGAGGAAGGGGTTACAAATAAATTTCATCTTACTTTTCCCAACCCCATCCTACCTACCACATACCATAAAGATGCATGCACCATAACCCAAGTTATAACCGATAACAAAATCAGCAGCCCCTATTTATAGTGTACCTAAACACATAGCGTTCTGACAAGGTAACAAGCACGTCGCCATATTCTCAGGAATGATTTATACGGGTACACATAACTTACTATAGGAGTAAAGCGGGGAAGCTTCCCGACCGTATTGGCCATGTTTCTTCGGCTACTTTGTGACTCAGAGGTGAAAAGATCAACACAAAACTAGATGAGATTGTTGAATATGGGAGTAGTCAGTGACCAAAGGCACTTTTTTATGTGGGGAGAAAGCATGTCTCATCCCGTTTGCTAGGCTTACCCTGTCACGGCGGTACATTGTGCCAAAGCAATGAGTAGCAGAATCCGTATAGTATTACATACAAACAACCGTCTGTACATGCCTTACTTTACTACTCTTCCCGTTTCAAGCGATCAGTTACCAGCCCCGCGGGGCAACACACCTGGCATTTTTTATCCTCTTCATGTCCTATCCTCAATTAAAGACTTTACTAGCTACAACTTAATTTGCACCAAGATATTTCAAACATCATTTGGAGACTTATGCGTGCCTCTTCTAGAACTGCGTCCTGTATCTGATTATTTAGCATTTAGACTCAATAGTCTATTACTACTTTGGCAACCGTAGTTGTTGTAAGCCGAACTTCTTAAAGACTCCATGGGATGACACCTGGGTATTGATATGAAATAGCTCAATAATGCATGTGGCATGAGAAGTATTTTATTGACCGTTCCTGATATGAGTTTTATCGTCCACAGCTGCGTCCTTAATTTAAACAGGGTTTTGGGTGTACTTTTTTATTAATGTTTATAGGCTGTTCTTGTATATTTGCCAGTAGAAGTAGCCAACTATTTGTTGAAGAAACGTAAACATTGAGATTTGAGGCGTGTGCAGAATATGTATTGAAAAGTTTAGATGTGTGAATCTATGCTGTAATGCAATATTCCCTGTGAGGAAAATAAAAACAACATGCGTCACGTCTTGTAAACAAGGGAATTTGCCTGTACAACATACCCCCTCTATTTATTACACCATAAGCAACCATTCAGCAGCTACGTGTTGTTTGTGACAATATTCTATTTATGCTTAGATGTATGTTTCATAGAAAGTTTATTGCAAATTCATGCCCGAGGGCTAATTGCAAGAACATGATAACAACAATAAACAGTAGAATGATAATAAGTGATGCTAATGCTACTTTATATATACATTTGTAGTTATTGTTGGGTTTGATTTCTTTTCCGTGTGCAGTGGAGTATTAAATGGCCGACGTTTTGCGAGATATATAAATTGGGAGGTGTTAACCCTACCGGTATACCTAGACCGGGCTTTTTTTGACATGGGGGGACCGGGG